CTCAGATCTGGGCTCACATACCATGACACCATCAGTTTATTTGTAATATCACTGTAATTTCAGCTTCAAAACAATTCTGCTTGTTTCACACAGAGGACAGTTTTAGCATGGTGTGAGTTTAAGGACACACAGTCAGTGATGGGTGACTGGACTGAAGCCTTTGTAAGGCAGACTTAGTAAAAAAAATAAACTGACAGTGTATCGAGGAAAATTCTGGGCGGCTGGTGGCAGTCAGCTGCGTCCTTATTAAAAGTCGGCATCTCCTAGCGTGAGAGACAGGAGACATGAGGGAGACGCTGATCTCTGTTCCAAGCTTAGGTGGGAGGAGAGGAAACGGAACAAAAAGAGCAGAGGGCAGGATAAAGCGGAGCGGCTGGTGTCTGGGGGTCACAGATGCACCTGTGGTTTGATTTAGAAATAAAAGGCTAATTTATGGTCGTAAATTCACAGTGACTTCAGGAATGTCAGATTAAAAGGTGAGCTTCAGTGGGTATTCCGGGATCACTATGATAGAATTATATCTTTTCAGATAAATAACCGTTAATCCTCTGAAAGCTGAACCTTGCTGCTGGTCTCTCCCTTACTTTATACAGCCAATTACATGCAAACAGAAGACCGTAGAAAACAATATTTTGATTTCCTTTCTGCAGGCTGTCAGGCTGTAGAATCGCTGCAAAAGGCTGTTCTTCCCTGGCTTCAGCTCTGAGGTCAAACCCCTCACACCTGAGAGAGCTGGATCTGAGCAACAATCATCCAGGACGCTCAGGAGTGAAGCTGCTCTCTGCTGTACTGGAGGATCCCAGCTGTAAACTGGAAAAACTGAAGTGAGTGCAGAATAAGCATTTTACTGAGACCCGGAAGAAAAAATGTTTTGGTATTTAGATTTTTTTAGACAAGTTAAGTGCTGTGCACAAAAGAAACATGTTGCAACACTTTTTTCCCAAAAAAATATTTATTTAGTTCTTAACATATGTCCTCTGCAGTGGACAATGGGTCTTGTTAAATCACAGTTTATCATAGATTCATGTAATGGTGTCATATGGACAATTCATATCATTAAAACTTTTAAAACTGCTAAATTAATTAATCTTATTTAAGCATGGAAACAGCTTGGAAAAGGTTTGTACAATGTAGCAATTGAACTTTTGATTAATAATGCAAAGATCATGCAAAATGTGAAATGGCAATTCATGCCTCCAGAAAGCATAACAAGGTAACAGTAAGGCAACTTGGGAAATGATTTAAAACAAAACTTTTAATAATTATTTTAAAACATCAGGGGTTCTAAGTTATGAGTGATATGGCAGAAAACTATTTTTTCCTTTGGCAAGGCACAGAAACATGTTGCATTTGATGCATTTCACATACTGTAGGTTTTGCCATTACATCCACCTCTCTGGCACCGTGATGCATGGGCTGCCTCCACCATCTTGGCCATACGAACAGCCCCATATTTTTTCAGGCTGTCACTGGGCTGTGGCTCCACACTTCGCCTCTTCTTAAGGGGAGTGTACTGATCATCAGTGCTGACATCACTGACCACCTCATCAAACTCTTGACCTCGTCCCCACTGGGCTGAGGCAATAAAATCTCATGATCTACCCTGTAATCAATCCAGCTGTTAGTGACAGCCAGGTCAGAGAAATGCAGAATGGTACGGACAGTCAATTTTCTTGTACGGCTAGACATTGGGTAGAAGCTGATCATTTGGTCACACAGATCAACTCCGCCCAGGTTAGTGTTGTACTCAGTCACAACAGCAGGTCTAAATACATTAAGATGATGCTTCTCTTTTGATGACCATCTCATGCAGTTGTCCTGGGGCTCTATTCCATGGATGGTGGAGGCCAAGAGGACTGCCTTATTGTCCTGCCACTTAATTACTGCAATCTCTGATGGCTTTCTGACAACCATCTCAGATGCACCGCTTCCTTTTTTTTCAAATGTGTTATCATTTGACATCTTTGACTTGCACTGTTTTGGAACTCTGTTTTTCATGATGGTTCCTGTTACCTGGAGACCACTAGCTTTCAGCGCATCTAGGTGAAAAATCTGTCAAAGTATAGGTGTGTTCCTCATGGAAGTGTCTGTGCCATCCGAATGACAGCATTCCCTCCGATTCCCAGGTAAATGTTCAGTGAATGTGTTCTTGCCCTTATAAACCTCAAAGTCCAGCACCAGACCACTTGGACTAGCAAGCACAAAGGCTTTCATGCCTTTGATATAACTGACAGCATTGCTAGGAAAGTTTGGGGTGGCTGGTGGCAGTCTGCATCGTCTTTATTCCAAGTCGGCGTCTCCTGGCGTGAGAGACGGGAGACATGTGGGAGACGCCGATGTCTGTTCCCAGCTTAGGTGGGAAGAGAGAAAACGGAATAAAAAGGGCGGAAGGCAGGGTAAAGTGGAGCGGCCGCTGTCTGGGGGTCACAGGTGCACCATCGTGACAAGGGTTTGGTTTGGAAATGAAATGTTAATTTATGGCTGTTAATTCACAGTGACTTTGGGAATGTCAGATTAAAAGGTGAGCTTCAGTGGGTAGTGTAGGATCACTATGATAGAATTATATCTTTTCAGACAAGTAACTGTTAATCCCCTGAAAGCTGAACATTGCTGCTATTCTCTCCTTAACTTTATACAGCTAATTACATGCAAATGAATGGCTGTCGAAAACAATATTTTGATTTCCTTTCTGCAGGCTGTCAGGTTGTAGAGTCACAGAAGAAGGCTGTTCTTCCCTGGCTTCAGCTCTGAGGTCAAACCCCTCATACCTGAGAGAGCTGGATCTGAGCTACGATCACCCAGGAGACTCAGGAGTGAAGCTGCTCTCTGCTCTACTGGAGGATCCCAGCTGTAAACTGGAGAAGCTGAAGTGAGTGCAGAATAAGCATTTAGATATAAAGAAAATGGACTCCAAGAAAACCCATGATGCATTTCAGCAGTGATATAATAAACAAAACAGCTTCTTCTCCTATTTCCTTTTACCCCACAAATTTATGAACAAACCTATTGCTAAGAATTTGACACTGTGAACTAGAGATACTGAGGTCAGTATTACTGGGTATTCCACACTGTTAACTGGAGATACTGAGGTCAGTATTACTGGGTATCCAGACTCTTCACCAGCATCCAGCATTTTCACAAGAACATGGTAGACTCTGTACCCCCCTCTCCTTGAGGTGATCCTCAGTGATTCCCCTAAGCAGTCAGATGGGGGTGTTTCCCAGCTCCCTTCTCTTCAGGCTTCTGGATGTTAATCTTTCCCAGGCTGGTCTCCTTGCTCTTGACATCCCTACCAGGCCTCATCCTCACTGCCATCAGGGTCTGCTTGGGGCAGGACTGTGAATGAGGGAGGAAAGTGGTGGACAGGAGGAGACTGAGGCTGCTACCTGACCTCAGATCTGGACTCACATACCATGACACCATCAGTTTATTTGTACATTTACTGTAATTCAGTTTCAAAGCACAATTCCTGATTTTTCAGACAGTCGCCAATTTTACTGGACACATGGTGTGAGTTTAAGGATACACAGGCTGTGACAGGTGACTGGATTGAAGCCTCAGTGAGGCAGACTTATTAATAAATAATAATGACAACATGGCAAGGAAAGTTCTGGGTGGCTGGTGATGGTCGCTGGCGTCTTCACTCCGGGTCAGTGTCTCCTGGGTGTGAGAGAAGGGAGACCTGAGGGAGACGCCGATGTCTGTTCCCAGCCAAGGTGGGAGGAGAGAAAATGGAACAAAAAGAGCAGAGGGCAGGATAAAATGGAGCGGCCGGTGTCTGAGGGTCACAGGTGTATCATCATGACGATGGTTTAGTTTGGAAATAAAATGCTCATTTACAGTCAGTTCAGGAATGTCAGACTAATTGGTGAGCTACAGTAAGTAGTGTTTGATGACTGTGTTAGAGATTCATCTTTTCATATGAGCAGCCGCTAAACTCCTGAAGGCTGATCACTGCTTCTGGTCTCTCCCTTTAACACAGAATGAAATTACTTTTTTCAGTTAAATAGACATGTTGCAACACTTTTTTTTTCCAAAAAAATATTTATTTAGTTTTTACCATATGTCCTCTGCAGTGGACAACAAGTCTTGTTAAATCATATGGTATGTGAATTGGCCTCTCTAGAAAACAATATTTTTATTTCCTTTCTCCAGACTGTTAGGCTGTAGAGTCACAGAGACAGGCTGTTCTTCCCTGGCTTCAGCTCTGAGGTCAAAACCCTCACACCTGAGAGAGCTGGATTTGAGCGACAATCACCCAGGAGCCTCAGGACTGAACCTGGTTTCTGCTGTACTCAAGGATCCCAGACTAAGGTCAGTATTACTGGATATTGCACACTGTAAACTGGAGATACTGAGGTCAGTATTACTGGATATTGCACACTGTAAACTGGAGATACTGAGGTCAGTATTACTGGGTCAGTTCATGTTCTGGGGAAGGGCAGTGCTGATGAACACACCATGGAATCCAGCAGGAGATTCATATCTAAGCAGGAATATTCTGTGGACTTACTGTAACATAATAAGGAACTTGAATTCCCCAAACGATACATCGCTGGTAGGGGTGTAACGTACCGCTTGCCCATGGTTCGGTATGTATCGCGGTTCGGTATTTTATCAAACTGTTCAGTGCGCCACCTGCTGTTGTATAATGACAATTACAGTCTAGCCCTTGAAAATACGACCCCAGTTTTTTACCTATATTGTTTTTGGGAAAAAAACTCTCTAATATTCGCACCAGTACATATAGGGAAATGATAGTAATACTGTGGTATTGTCCCAAATGTTTCAATGAACTACTGTGTATTGTGACACCTTTACCAGTTAAAAAACAGATTGCTACCAAGCTAAAAATACAGTTATTTGGAAATATAAAGAGTTTATTGTTTAATAAAGTGAAGTGTTCTGTTTTTCTTAAATTTAAGTATACACAAACCTTATTGTTACCATGGCCCTAAAACCTCGATACACACCAAATGACATCATTACACCCCTAGTCACAGGTAATGTCTTATTTTATTTTTTATATTTTAAAAAACATCTTAACATTTAATGGCAGTATCAGAATGTCAAAGACTGTAATTATCGTTATGACTGAAAATTGTTACAGTCACATGATCCTATTAATTTGTTGTCTCTGCTCCATTTGTGACCTTCATTTTTCTTTTATTAATTTGTTTGTTTATTTGTTTATTTTTGTAAGGTGAGGAAACATACAATGCCCCAGGTGAAATCTTGCCATTAGTAACCAATTAGTTAACTGATAACTAATAAAGTGCCTGAATGGAATACATGAATTGTCATGATTAATTAATGATGAAAAAGTGTGGATTAGTACATAATTAACACTTAGTTACTGGTTAATTAATGCATAAGCTAGCATATACTACTGCATTATCCATGTCCCTTCAAGTAAAGTGTCTTGCAAGTTTCCTTATAACAGATATCTATCCCTCCAGAGACACTAGAAACTTCTGAGACAGCTTTTTCCAGTGGGACACCAATAACTGAATCCTTACTCGTTGAGTTTTCCTGCAGTGAGACTGCATTATAGTGTTTAAAATGGCTTTTCAACCTGCTCTTGAGTTACACAGAGAGGCCTTTGAGAAGTGAAATGTGTGGGACGTATTTGAACATATGGTTAAGCGTGTATTAATGATGAATTGTTATACGCAGCAGTAATATGGAAGACACAACAGAATTCATGGAGAGTGAGAAGCCTTCATCTCTGCAACATTGTAGAGCCTCCACATCTATCACTGTTGCCTGTAATTGGATTCTGGAGCTGGTGAGTTGTTTGATTTGACTGAAGTGATGAAACAAGTATCGAACAATCAAGGTCAAATGTATGGACTAAACTAAAATATTTAAATTTAAACATGCATAATATGACGCTATTGCACTGAAGCTGGATACTGTGATTATTTCAGAATCACTGTGCAAATGGGATTAAATCAAGGTGACACCAGATCTAGATCGATAACATAAGTCCCCAGTTATGAAGATGACAGCGCCATCAATTTTAATTAGTCTTGACTCATGAGTGATGATTAGAATTTTTTTTCAGGTATCGGGAAACAAGCACTTATTTATACCAGATGTGGTGGAAACAAGTAACATGAGAGAATACAGGTAATTCTACTGTGTCATATGTAACTGAATTTCCACATGACTGTGTGAAGCCTGTAAGTGGATAATGAAGACATCCATCCATCAACTGTCTCATCCAGTGACTTTTAATCATTTCAAATATAAATCACACTCTCCAGTGCAGAGGACACACTCAGTATGATACCATCTTGGGTTCACTGGCTGAGTCTCTTCCCCATCCTTGGTTCTGTGATACAGGTTCCAGATGAAACATCCTGGAAGGTTCTTCTGCTGCGTCACAGGCTTGGTGTTTGTGATGAAGTCCAGCGGGGAGGTGACCTACAGCTTCTGCTCCTGGGAAAAAGCCCCCAAGACCCCCGGCAGCTGGAGACTGGCGGGGCCCCATATTACCATCGAGTGTCCCCAAGGGATCCTGAAGGAGTTGCACCTCCCTCACTGTGAGATGTCTGCAGGTAAATTATACAGGCTAATGTGAAGGTTCAGATGCTTCTTACCACACTTGGCAGGATGGTTTACAAATCCTGTGTTACAGTAAGATTGTGACTTGCTTTATTTAAAGAGGCAGTTCACCCCAAAACCTAATAAAGATACTGTATGTTTTAGAACGGATTTAGTGCCACTTATCCACATAGGTTGTCCTGCTGGGAGGTACATAGTTTTGGAGATACTGGCTGTAGAAATGTCAGCCGACTGAAGCGGTCAAATAAAATGGGACTGAATGGCATTCTTCTGTGGTGTTTAATGCGGAAAAAAATGCATTTGAAAATTAAATAGTAATGTCTCTTACCAGAGACCTGGTTACTCAAGATAATCTAAAGACTTTGTAGTGAGCAGTTTAATGTAGGAACTATTTTCTAATACTAAACACCATACACCAATCGCACAGCGTCATACCTGGGGTGTGGCTTGTGCTAACTGCATGTCCCGTAATGGAGGAATGAAAGCAAAGCAAAATGAAAGTGAATCTTCCAGCTTCTCAAATATCACATATTGATAATGTATTGAGGGGAGACTTAGGAATCAAACTGAAGGCTTCTTCCTTTTTCCCATAAGAATCAATCAATTTTGCTTCCAGATGATAACCTGGCTGTAGCACATGTAACCAAAGACAACATGGAGATTCTGCAGCCACAGAAGGTGACAGACACACATGTGGTCATCAGCATCACCGACCTCTCTATTTTTGTTCTCATAAAGAGGAAAATACTCCCCAAGGTCAAAGGGCAAGTGCTACTGCTACAGCGACCTGGAGATAAAATCTTGAATGTGTTCTTGTTGCCCGCAAATGTGCCTCCTGACCAGGTGAGCATTTCCATGCCTGATTATTTCACCGGTGCTGAGCCACACACACCGTCTCCCACCCAGTTGCATCCTCTGACCAGCACAGACACTCCGATAATTTTTGAAAACTCAAAAATGAATACTAATCTGTGTTGTGTTACAACACATTATGTAATGTTTCCGCATTATGGGATGGAAACTTGCTACATTTTGTTATTACATAATGAGATGTGAATGCATAATACATTGTTATAAGGTCTTTGGTTTTTTGTATAACTAAGGTTTGCTCTGTCATTATCCACATGGTGGGTGATGAAGATGGATAAGCCAGTGGACAGGTTACAATTCTCATTGTCAATGTTACTCAATGCAGGTGCACCAGCAGGAGCAACAGAAACAAAACATTCTCATTCATACCAGCTCTAAGTGCAAGTTCAAACATAAAGAGCTGTACAGGATGTCCAGTGACCACGAGGCAATAAGGTGGATCCAGCCAAAGGTGACGACTGAAACCACAACCAAAGAACACATATTAATATATCCAATGTCCAACTGACATACAGTATCGCTCTAAAGTTTGAGTGCACCAGCTTGAAACCATAATTATCTGTGCTTTAAACTGTATACCACTGTCTATTAAGAGGGGTGGAGGTCTGTTTTATGGCCAAATGTGTCAAAATTGGGTCCAACTACCATGCACTTGTAAGACACAGAGGGGTGAGTGCATGAGTTCTGCATTTGCAGTTACCGCTGTCAGATAAGAGGATGTCAGTGTCGTGGCCTGGGGTTGCTTTGCTGGTGACAGAGATGATGATCTTTATTAAATCCTTGGTTATCTCAACCAGCATGACTATCACAGCCTATTTCAGAGTAGAGCCTGACCAGTATGTACATTTTATTTCAGATACTGATCAACAATTTAAGGAGCTAAAAATCCCAATAAATAATGATCAATATAATTTTACATGGTGAAAAATTAAAGACAAATAGTTAAAGTGCTTTACTGCTTGGCATGATTTCCCAAACTCAAGAAGCAGCAGAAATATATATCTTATATAAATATAAATCTGTATAACAACCTTAAATCAAGTGAATAACACAAATAAAACAAGTGAATAAATCTCACAATACTGAACTAGTGAGCAATAGCAAGTTGAAAGTACTACTAAGGATCTACTAAACAAAAGCACCTTATGAAGTAACTGTACTCACACACACAAACCTGCTTTCAGTCCCAACATTTTTGTGTGATATAATACAAAATTCCAATTCCCATTCGATAAATCTTTTGCCAAACATACCAGTAGTCTCAGGCTTAGACTGGTATGTTATATGCGGTTTCTCTGCATATTCCCCTGTAGGAGAGCTCATTTTCTTAACATAAATGTTTAAAAAGACAAACAGTGCTTTGTTGCTGGGTTTATTTGGTTTTTCCACTCAACACTGATGAATTCATGGAACCTTAATATCAGCCAGTTTTATTGGCCAGTTGATGTACTGGTCTAGCCATATTTCAGAATATCGGTGTTAGGATTACAGCTGAGTGGGCAGTCCTTCATTTTCAAACAAGATAACAACCTAAAATAGACCTCAAAACTGTTCAATAACTATCTGGGAAAGAGAGAACACCAGTAAACCTTACACTAAAGACTGGGCCTTCCCAGTCTGCAGGCCTCTGTCCCATTAATCCTGTATGGGGTGAAATAGACAGAAGAGTCAAAGCAAAGCAACCAGCAAGTGCCCCGAGTCTCTAGGAACGGCTGCAGAAGGGCTAGGAAGACGTCAGGTGATCTCCTGATAAAATCATGATAAAAACCTTGTTTCCCGCAAGTGTACTCAAACTTTTGATTGGTTCACCCTGCATGTCATAGAAGTTATTTCACATAAAAAAGTACAAAATACACTGTGAATTAAATGTAGCAGTTAATGCCCCCAGGGTGGCTCATACCTCCAGGGTTGGGGGTGTGAATCCCACCTCGGCTCTTTGTGAGGAACAGTTCCCACTTTTAAACAGGGTTCAGAACATCACGAGCAATTTCCCCTCTTCACCTCTAGAACGAAGAGTTTGAATACAGTTTTGACCAAACAATCTACCCAACTTTTGAAGTATTTTTGGAACGTGACGAGGGGATGGTGGAGCTGAGTATCTTGGAAGACAGGAGCGGTAAAGACGTGTGGCAGCGCATCGTCATTCTCAAAGGTGATAACATGCAATTTCTGTATGGAAATAAACAGAAGGGGCTGTGTGAGACCATCAGGACAAGCAAACATGATTAACCACTGGGCAGAGATTCCAGTGTGGGCAGTGTGCACCCCTGATTCTAACTGCTTAATGCTTCAGGCGGATCTAACTTATCAGAGAAAATGCTTCACTGTTCACTGCACTGTGAAAGGCAGGGTTCTGCTATTTGCTTAATGTCATTTAGAAACAGCAAAGGCCTCATTTAACAGGAATTCACACAAACATCTGGAATAATACCTGACACCATTTCAGGGTAACTAACCAAAAAGCCCTCAAAGAAATCCTTAACCAAGATGGTGTCTCTTCCTTCAGGTGCTGTTCCTCCATCACCATCTACGACTGAT